GGCAGAGGCAAGGAAGGGTTCTCCTTCTGAGTGCAACCCTGCACATACTCCTGTGTTAGCCCAGCAGCACTGACTTTTCTGTTTTACATCACCCACCGAGGCTTCAGTAATTTGCTACAGCAGCCAGGGGGCAGCAAGGAGCATTCTCTGGTAACAGCTCCGGATGATCTCTCTGCTGGCACTCTCAGCAAACCCCTCCTGTACCCCAGCTCAGCAAAGTCAGAGAAATCCTTTTAAGACATAACTCAAGGGGCCAGCAGGTGGCATAGTGGTGAAGGTACTAGACTCCCACATGGCTGACTATGGTTCGAGTCCTAGAACCAGCAGCTTGAAACTCACATTGGGTGCGTATGTATGCATTGCCCAAAATCCCAAGAGGAGAATGGAGGAAAAGGGACTTCAGCATAGCTGCCTCCCCAGGGGGTGATTTCTCACTCTCTCTCTCTCTCTCTCTCTCTCTGTGTCTCTGGCGAACCTGTGTGCCCTATAGGAAAAAAATCTCACAAATAAATAAAACATAGCTCAAATATTGCCTCTGTTCTGCTCAAACTACCTGAGGGCTTCCAGCTCACACAGAGTAAAAGCCACAGTAATGGACAGGAGGCCCTATGCATTTGCCATCAGGCCCCTGCACTCTGCCTACCTCTCCGCCCCACCACTTCCCCTTTCACTCAGGTTTAGCCATTCTGCTTTTCTTTTCTTTCTTTTTTTCTTTTTTTTGGTAGGGGTTTTTGCTATAGGGTGCGTGCAACTCACCGGAAAGACAGAGAGAGACAGAAAACGAGAAGTCATCCCCCAGGGGGGATGGCCACGATGCAGTCCCTTCTCCTCCATTCTCCTCTCAGGATCTTGGGCACACACGCACACGCGCCTGGCGTGAATTTAAGCCACTGGGTCCGGAGCTCAAACTGCGGTCAACTACATGGGAGTCCAGCGACATAGCCACTACACTAACTGCTGGTCCCAGCCATTCTGCTTTTCTGTTCCTGTCTCAGGACTGTTGTTGTTCCCTCTGCCTGGGCTGCTCTTCTTCCAGATGGACACATAGCTCTCTTGGCAACCTCAGGGCTTCTGTACCCCACTTTATCAGTGACTATTCTCTTCTTCCTTGGCTATCTTGCTACCATCACCCCCAACATCCCCTTTGCCTGTTATATTTTTCACAGATTTTTTTCATCAATGCATTCACATTCACATATTTATTTTCTGTCTCTTTGATGAGACTATAGGCTTCATGAAGTAAGGATTTTTATGTTTGGTTCACTGAAATATTCTCAGTGTCTAGAATAATGGTACCTGCCTGCTGCAGGTGTCGGTAAATATTTTTCTTTTTTCTTTCTTTTTTTTTTTTTTTTTTTTTTGTGTGTTTTTTTTTTTTTTTGAGAGGTTTTTGCTATAGGGTGCATGCTCTCACCAGAAAGATAGAGAGAGACACAGAGACAGAAAGCAAGAAATCACCCCCCAGGGGGATGGCCACACCGCAATCCCTCTCCTCCATTCTCCTCTCGGGATCTTGGGCACGCACACACATGCGCCCTGTGTGAGTTTAAGCCACCGGGTCCGGGACTCGTACTGTGGTCAACTACATGGGAGTCCAGCAACATAGCCATTACGCCAACTGCTGGTTCCTAAGTAAATATTTCTTGAATAAACAAGGATTATTTTGCACTGGAGTTTTCAAAAGTTTTTTTTTTTACAGAAAGTCTTGTAATGGCTCAGGAAATTAGATGTTTCCTGCATACTGGGATTTTTCTTTTTAATTTGCTATAGGGTATGTGTGCTTACTGGAGAGAAAGGAGAGAGAACAGAGAGAGGGAGAGAGAGAGAGAGAGAAAAGTAAGAAAGCACCCCTTATCCAGGGGGATAGCCACATTGCAATCCCTTCTCTTCCATTCTCTGTTTGGGGATTTTTGGCCACACATGCACAAGTATGCAGTTTATTTTTCAAGCCTCTGGATCTGAGACGCCAACCGCACACTAAGCTATGTGGGACCCAGTCACCTTAACAACCTCACCACCAGCTGGCCTAAACTATGATTTCGATCTTTTAAAAATATAAATATGTACCAGCCTCATGGCCTGATGATTAAGGAACCCTCCTTCAACATGGCCAACTGTACAGTTCAAATTCTGGCCCTGGCAGCTTGAAAAATATACCAGACATGTGCGTGTATGTGTATACTCAAAACCCCATCAGAATGGGTGAAATGGAGGAGATGAGATTGTAGTGTGGCCATTACCCATTGGGGATTGCTTTCTCTCTCTCTCTGTCTGTCTCTCTCTGGCAAGCTCATGTGTCCTCTTGTAATTGAAAAAAAAATAGCTTTATCTGTTTATCCCTTTTATTTCTTTTGTAATTAATTGGGAATAATTTATTATATGTTTATTAAGGATGTCACGGGATTCAGACACAGGCAAAACATCTTCCTTTTGCAAGTATGACAATATGTGGTGAGAAAATAAATGGAAAAGAAACACATGTGTTGTGTGAACTGTTGGCATCAACATTCATGTGCAGACTGTGTGGGACCTGCTTTGATAATTCCTATTTTTGATGTTGACCTTCTCATGTTTGCTTTGCTCACTCTCCCTGAGACAGTGTTTCCTCAATATCCACACACCTGGGGAGAAGCAATGTTCCTCCAGGTGTGTACAAAGTCCTGTACATCCCAGAGATTCATGTGTAAAATAATCATGTAATAAATCTCGGCAGACCAAAAAGATACCAAAGGCCTGTCCTCAACTGTGGAAAAGAGCTCAGATTTCCTGACATTCTGTATTGTATTCTTTCTCTTTCTTTCTCTTTCTTTCTCTTTCTTTCTTTTTCTTTCTTTCTTTCTTTCTTTCTTTCTTTCTTTCTTTCTTTCTTTCTATCTCTTTCTCTTTCTTTCTTTTTCTTTCTCTCTCTCTCTTCTTTCTTTCTTTCTTTCATCTTTTGCTAAAGGACATGTGCACTTGCTGGAGAAAAAGAGAGAAGAGAGAGACAGTGGGAAATCATCCCCTGGGGGACAGCCATACTGCAATCCCTTCTCCATTCTCCTCTTGGGATTTTGGGCACACATGCATATCCACCCGACATGTTTCTCAAGCCACTAGATCCTGGATTCGAACTGTGCAGTCAGCCATGTGGGACCCAGCTGCCTTAACCACCATGCCTCTGGGTGACCCATATTGTATTCTTTCTTACCCACCTGAATATAGCAACTAACACTTGATTATCTGTGTCTTCGGAAAGAATACTTCACAGTTCTTTGACATAGAGAAGCTTAATATGTTTTAAGGTGGGTTTTCACTACGGATTTAATTTTCTATCCATGGATGTTAACCTGAAATCTGCCTTTTCTAGTGCTCGTGCTAGAAAAATGACAGTGGACTCTGGTAAAAATGGAGCCATCTGTCCGTTAGCCTGGGCTCAGGGTGAAAAGAGACACCCTGGAAAATGATGCTCAATAAGGAGCTAGGAGGAAGGTTTGGATATTTATTTTTTATTTATTATTACTTATTTAAGGTTTTTGCAATAGGATGAGTACACTCCTTCACCAGAGAGAGAGGGAAAGTGTGAAATCACCCCCCAGGGGGATGACCACTCCAAAAATCCCTTCTCCACTCTCCTCCTGGGATTTGGGCACACACGCACTTGTAAATGAGTCTTCAGAAAGGGCACTTCTCTGTGCCCCTCTCATTGCCCTTACTAGCTCCTCTTATAGCCAGTGATGGAAAGTCTCTACTTTGATTTAAAAAGTAGGTGCTGCTTTTTCTGGGGGCTCTCTGTCGCCAGGGTCACCTTTCTGTGTGCCCTGGTTCAAATAGGATTTGGTTAGGAAAGGTCCTTGAGGCTGTTTTCCCAGCCCATTTATCCTTCCTCCCACCTCTTCCTCCACCTCTGCCAGGTGACCTCTTACATCACTATGGCTATAGTAACTACACAAGGTCTAAACTCTACCAACTGCAGATCCCTCCCGCTCCATAAACATGAGGCCGGATATAGGGCTGCAGTTGGGGCTGGGTCTTGAGGCCTGTATTCCTTCCAGATATACACAAGAGCTGTCTATTAGAAGTCTCAACTAGTGAAAGGGGGTCTTGGCTTCTCTCCATGTGTAGTACTTGGCTTTGTCCCCAGCCTTTTTGACTCAACCATACACTTTCTCTCGAACCACTTCAGCCCGCATTACCCAGTCCGGGGGAGATAGGAACTGATGGGAGGTCAGCATTTTCATATCCACTCATCCCTGCCTTGGACACTTAGTAGGTGCTCACTGAGAAACACATCTTCCTCTACACTGGGATTTTGAATCAACTTTTCTCAAGGCCTGGTCAGCACAATCCCTGCTTATACTTGCCCTAGAAAAACCACAGGCCACACATCTATGCTGTGCAACAATGGAGACAGCAAAGAGGACGGGTCTACGTTCCTTCCTTCTGGAGTTGGCGCTGGGTTACTAATGGAGAAGTGCCCATGGGCAGCCTCTAGCTTTTCATCTTGTGGACAATTTGAGTTCAATAGCATCCCCTCCAGAGAGAGAGTCCCGGGTAAGAGGTGACGACCATGAGAACCCATTCTCCTAGGGACTGACAACCCAGTGAAAGGAAAGGAGGGTAAGAGGAAAGGTTGAAATTAATGCTTCAAATGAGGCTTAAAGTGTTAACCCAGAGTGTTTCCATTCTTCATGCTTTTAATCTGAGAACTGGCTTCATGATTTTACCCGCCGGGAGTTGCAGGGAGAGAAGGGTGTCGGTTCCCACTCTGGTCTGATGCCCTCTGGGGGACTTGTGGAGTCTGACTGGAGGCTCAGCTCCCCTTACCTTGATAAGCAGCCAGGCTGACATGAAGACACCGGCAACGTGACAGCCAGTGAAGGTCTGATGGCCCTCTATACAGTCAGAGGACACACTTGGCCATCCCAGTGGAGTAAGTGGAAAATTCCAGGGAGACCAGGAGCCAGCAGTTCTTGGTGAAACCACGGCACAGGGAGTGTCAGAGCCAGACATAGGAGACTCTGGGCAGTGATAAAATAAATTGCTTTAATAGGAGAATTTCTGAGATGGCAACTTTTGCTTTTGTTATCAAACATCAGTTTCCCTGCCTTGGGGTGTCTTGAGGGGGCACTGGTTGAACCCCTAGCCCCACAGAAGGCTAGGATGTTACTCAGACACGATTCAGCCCCTCCAGGGATGAGAGGTGAGTCTTGGTATCAGGAGATTAGAGTTAGCTGGCAGTCAGTTCAAAGTAGGCCTTCCCTCTGTGTCCAGGCTTGAGGGCAGGGGCGAGGGGCTTCACTTCCCACTTCGGGTGTCTCCACGAAGAGAGAAGAAGATCACCTTTGAAATTTCAACTCTGACCTTTACAAAGAAAACTAATAGATACTTTGGTATTATATACAAGGCAGAGGGGAGAGGATGTGGAGGGGAATTGCACTTAATTACAGTAGTTTATAGTTTACACCCATTGGACAAATTTACTTCTTTAAAAGAAATCTCAAAATCATTTGGCACGGGGGTGGGGAGGGAGTTTCCACATATTTACAGTGTGTTTGGCTCAGTTCAATAGCACACGTCCTCCTCTCCTCGTTTCAGTAACAGATTCAAGTTTTTGCATCAGTTTGTTCGATGAAGGGTCACAGCGTAGACACTACCACTTTCTCTCCTCCTCTTCCACGGTTTCTTGTCTCCCACCTCTAGGACCGACAGGAGTACTTGACATCTTGGGAGAGGCATCGTGACAATACTGCATAGAAGGGAAGCAGGGCTTCGGCCGGGCCTCCTGAGAGTGGATTGTCCTAGGCACCAGCAGGGTGTCAGGTAAGCAGGGACCTCTCGCAGGTGCTTGTCAGCTCACTGGGCTTTTCCATGACAGCGCCCGGAAGGGTGATGGTGTGGAAAACAGGGTTCTGTTGCTGTGCACAAAGTAAGTGATGTGTGGGCATCACCAGGCTTGCAGAGGACACTGCAGTGAGAGAGGAAGAGAGCTCAGCAGTATGCATTTGCAGGCACGTGGGCCGTTATTTTGGCTCCTCCATGGGAGCTGGCACCCAGCTCAGCCAGCAGAGAGCTGGGCCCTCGTGGCTGCTCAGCTCTGGACTTAATCCTGAAGGCCGACTCCTCTTTCTGTGAGAGTGGTATGTATAGAGTGCTCAGAGTGGGTGCAAAGGCAGCTGGGTGGGGAGCTCTTGCCTCTGGGGAAAGGAAAGGTCTCCTCTGAGACCTCTAGGAGCAGAGGTCAACCACTGCTTTCCGAACTTGAATGGACCTACGAGTGGCGGAGATCCTGTTAAAATGCAGGCTCTGATTTAATTCTGATTCCTAGGGGGTCTAATTCTGGGCTGAGCCTGAGATTCTGCATTTTTAATTAGCCCACATTTTTAATGTGCTGATGCTGCTGATCTACTCTGAGCAGCAAGGCCATAAAGCACACAAGATTACGACCCCTTACTCAAACTACCCATCAAGGAAGGAGCTTTAAAATTGCAAGTGCACTTTACAGCTTTGTTCCTATTAGGATAAGAAACTCAGAAGACCAGGAAAAAGACCTAAGGACCAAAGGCTTCAGATGCCTTACTTCCGGGAGGGCCAGAGGCAGCAGCCCCCAGGAGGCTGGAGACCCTCTGAACGAGCCACGCTATCCATCCTGTGGCAGCTTCCCTTCCAGAGACCTGAGCCTCGTTGGTTTTAACTATCATGGGACATCCTTCCTCTCCTTTTTACTTCTGGGAATTCCGTTTTGTTTCCCTCTGTCTCCTTCCCTTTAGCTTCTGTTGGAATCTAAGTTTTGGCTCAATGGCTTATTCTCCCAAGACTCCCCTTCAAACACACACACACACACACACCCCTTGACCGCTACTACTAAAGGCCCATTATTACGCTGTTTCTCACTAATCATTGCTCTCAATCATAGGCTTATGAGGTTATCATTATGTCAGTCTTACAGATTAGAAAAGCAAGGCTCAAAGACAGTCAGTGAATTGCCCAAGGTTTCAGAACCAGATTCAAACTAGTTCCGGGTGAGCACTCAGCATGTGTTCTTTCCATTACGCTCTGAGGTTAGCACAGGCTACCTTTCTACTAAGCTTTGTGCTCCTGGTCAAGTTGCCTTCTCCGTGCCTCAGTTTCTATGAAATGGAGGTTACTATGGGATTAGACGACTCGATGACTGTGGGGCCCTGAGAGCGATTCTCGGCAGCACGCTGCTTTTAGGTGCCCAGAGGAGAGGACTGGCCCGCACGTTCATGTAGGAGACAGGCTTCTGACCTGCTACATTCTTGAGGCTTTGGTCAGGTCCTCTGATACCCTTTGCCTCCTCTTCCTCCCTCTGCCCACCCCCGCTCTCCAGTCTCTACTTCCCACTATCAGCCTTTTCCCAATTTTCAGATTTCAGGTAGAGGAGAGAGAAAATGGCTTGTGACCTTGCAGGTTTCAATAGAAGAGCAAACAAGAAGGGCAGATAAGGAGACGCCAGTGAGATTCTATGACCTGTCATTAGGGATGGGCTTCCTAGTTATCAAATGTTTGCTCACATAATAAAATGGTGGCAGAGCCCTGAATGTTGTCAAAGGAACTAGAGTTATTTGCCCCCTTCAGAGTCTAAACACAAACATCTGATAAGGGGTGCACTGTGATCCCTTAGACCTGGGGGCCCAGTGCACCCAGCACCATGGGGCCTTGCTCTGAGGATCTCTGAGTAGCCCTGGAGCCCTTGTCTGAAAGGTGTGATAGCTCTGATGATTGTTAAGAGTGTCCTCATTCTAAGAGGATTTATTGTGTGATGGTAATAGCTGACATTTACCAAGGTCCTACTGTGTGCCAGGCACCGTGTTTAGGGCTTCACAAGCATTAGCACATCTAATTTTTCCACCAATCTTTTGAAGTAGGTGATTACCATTTATTTCTTTAACACATGTTTAAGCATTTTCTGAGTGCTTTACAGTATTTTGAGCACTGGGGATGCAGCTGTGAACAAGACCCTGCCCATCTTGTTTCAAGAGATACCTGCTAATGGGGTTCTGTAAGCAAGTGCACACACAAACATACATATAATAACATTTTAGGTGGAGCTATTTCATATGGAATACTCCATGGTATGGAATACTCCATAGAAAAACAAGCATGGTAAGAGGTTAGGGTGACTTGAGAGAAAAGGACGTAATTTAGATGGGGGATCCAGAGAGGCCTCGTGGAGGCAGGGTGAGCTGAGCTGAATGAAATGAAGAAGGAACCATGGGGAGGTGTGCATGGAAGAGTGCTGTAGGCAGAAGACACCACGAAGTCCCAGCACAAGACTTCAGCTCCATTGCAGTTGAGTTAGGGAGGGAGGAGAGGAAAGAGGTGAGAGTGGTGACATTGGCGCCTGATCACATAGGGCCTCATAAGTATCCATTGTAGTTTGACTGCAATGGAAAGATACTGGAGACTTTTGACAGGGGAGTAACATGCTTGATTTCTCTTTCTCTTTTAGAATTTATTTCTTCCATGACAGAGAGAGACAGAGAGGTAAACACGCCCGGCAGGGAGACAGAGAGATAAGCACACCCAAGAGGTCTTCATGTCATGATCCACCCTGTCCCAGTTGGACTGGATCATGGATGCAAGCACCTGGAGTGCTCAGGGAAGCTCCAGGACATGAGCCTAGGACCTTTCCCATGTGGATCCAGTTGCACTACAACTGCACCACTACCTGGTCTGCTTGATTTCTCTTTTTAAGAGCTCACTCTGGAGGTAGATGGTGATGTGCACCTGTTATCTGGGTTGGCTGAACCTGGGGGTGAATCATGTTGGAGAGAGGGGATGTCTCTTCCTCTCTCTCTCATAGAAGAAAATATATATCTATAACATTGTTTTAAAAAAGAGTGAAATTGCTTTGAATGCTGAGTGGCAAACAGACCACAGTGGGACAATGGTGGCAGGGGGAGACACTTAAGGGTCATGCAAAGAGATCAGTGGGAAATAAGGGGGGCCTAGACTTGGCAAGGTCACTTCTGAGAGGAGTGGTGAGAAGAGATCAAATTTAGGATGTATTGCAAAGGATCCCAGCAGAACATCTTGACTAAATGTGTGGGGTGTGGAGAGAAGAGCACCCCACCGTGTGTGGGGTGTGGAGAGAAGAATCCAGGGTACTCTCAGGTATCTCACCTGAACAACTGGTACCACTTTGGGAAATGGAGAAGCCCAAGGAAGAAGCAATATGAATAGGGAGAAATTGGGCAGAATGGAGAGTTCCTATGTTAGGCGTATTTAATCTAGGAGGCTTATCAGATATATTAGGCATGCATATGTCCCCGCTAGAGGTGAATGGGCACTCAGCGGGGAGGACTGTACTGGAGGAAGAACTGTAGGAACTATCAGTGTATGCATTTGACCCAACGCCATAAGATTGGAGGAGACCACTCAGAAATAAGCACAGAAGCGAAAAAGCCAAAGATAGACCCCTGGAACCCTCCAACCCCTAAGTGTTGGGAAGATGAATTGTCAGCTAGGGAAATGATGAATAGCCAGTACCCTAGAAAGAGAACCGGAATGGTAGTGTCCTAAAATCCAAGGGATCAGTCATGTCAAAGATAGAGACTGACAAGTGGCCACTGGATTTAGCAACGTGGGATGTTAGTGAAGCGTGAGGACAAGTCAGTCTGCTGTGGGCTCAAGAGAATTGAGGGGGCAGAAGTAGAGACAGCAAATAAAGATAGCTTGTATCTGTTATTGTTAACTTATGTGAGGTTAATTATAGCTCTATTAATGAAAAGTAATGATATAATTCTGATTTTACACATGACAGAAGTGTGCCCTAGAGAGATAAGTAACTTGCCCAGGCTCTCACAGTAGCAGAGCTTGTGTCCCGAACCACTGAATAAGAATGCCTCTTTTTGGGAACAGCAGATGGCATGATGGCTATGTCGCTGGACTCCCATGTAGTCAACTGTGGTTCAAGTCCCGGACCCAGTGGCTTAAACTCACGCCAGGCATGTGTGCGTGCATGCCCAAGATCCCGAGAAGAGAATGGAGGAAAAGGGATTGCAGTGTGGCCATCCCCCCAGGGGGTGATTTCTCACTTTCTGTCTCTCTCTGTCTTTCTGGCAAGCACTCACACCCTACTGCAAAAACCTTTCAATAATAATAATAATAATAATAATAATAATAATAATAATACCTACTTTTACCCTCTGAGTGGGACAACGGGGAAATAAATGCCCTTTGCCATTTAAAATCCTTCTTCCCAAGCCCTAGAGACTTGAGGCGGCCAGCTGGGGAGGCCAAGTATGACTGAGCTTCTAAAGCCCAGGTGTTTCCTTTGGGCAAAGCACAGCCACGTGTTTTACTAGTCTTCTTGCAGTTAGTCTCTTTCAATGCTATGACAGAAGTATTATTTGCCTCATTGCACAGGTGAGGAAAGGGAGGCTCAGAGAGACTAGGATGTTTCCCTGTGGTCGCACGGGTAGGAAATGGTAGAACCTTGAGCTCGGATCTGCCTAACTCTCAAGCTGGTGTTCCTAACCATCAGATATCCTGCCTTGTTCCGCAGTGGAGAAGTGGAAAGGAGGGGAACAGTTACCGAGGGATTAATGATGAGACTCTCCACCTCCTTCCTGTCAGCACGCCTGACTAGTGACTGCTCTGGGGACCCTCTCTTGACCTCCCTATAAACTAGGAAGTCAAGCAGCGGGTAGAGAACGTTGTGGAAACAAGTCAGCTTGCAGCTTGCCCATACTTGTTCTGACTGAGGTCAGTGCTTGGTGCGGTCCTGTTTCTAGGTTGGCAGGATACTGTTGAGCTCAGGGACAACTCCATTCCTACAGCAACTTGCCAGCACCCAAGAATTGGGGTGGGGAGGCATGTACTTTGGAAAGGCCAGACGACAGCAGTTGTAGAAAGATTCTGGCAGCAAGAAAATACCAGCCTGGAGTTCTTGAAATGTGACCTCCAAGCCTCCTGGCACATACCCTGACAACAGAAATACTGGCCTCAGACACAGGGGAACTCTTGACTTTAGCCTTACACCTGTCTAATGTTGAGCCATTATTATGAGTGTTTATACCTGGATATTGCAGGAATTACAATGGATTTGAAGTGTAAAGACCAAAATCTATATGTCTAGCTCCAGAATATATCATCCATGTGAACTTGTTCAGGTCACTCCTCACTTCTGAACCTCAGTTTTCTCCTCTGTAAGTCAGGTATGAGAATATCTGCCTAGTAGGGGGTTAGCCAGGAAAGGGAAGACAGAGAAGCAGCTGGAGTGCTACTTAGAAAATAGGTGTGCACATGCCGGGTGCGTGTGCGTGCGTGCCCAACATCCCGAGAGGAGAATGGCAGAGAAGGGATTGAGGCGTGGCCATCCCCCCTAGGGGGTGATTTCTCGCTTTCTGTCTCTCTGTCTCTCTCTGTCGGTCTGGCAAACGCACGTGCCCTATAGCAAAAACCTCTAAAAAAAAAAAAAGAAAAAGAAAAAGAAAAGGGGAAGCGTGCAAAAAATACTAATTCTGAATCCATCCATCCATATTTACTGAACACCCACCCCAGCCCAGGTGTCTGGTTAAGCACAAAGCACTGGCTAAGTTAAGAGACCACTGAATAATCGGTTTTCCCCGGGAGGTGGGTTAGGAGGCCCCTGTGTGTCAGCAAGAGAATGGGAAACCAGGATCTGGATCCCAGGCTCAGCAGATGGTATATGCTTGAGAGATGGTCCATATCCTGAGCCACTGTATTGCCAGAACCTCTTAGGCTACATGTAGACTGAGCAATGAGCTAAATCTTGAAGGAGCTGGGAGAAGTGGGGACAGCTCCTCCTAAAGGATCATAGACAGGAACAGAGAAGGAGCTACTACAGGTCAAGCATCCCTAATCCAAAAATCTGAAATCTGAAATGGTCCAAAATCCAAAACTTTGAGTGCCAAAACGAGATACCACAAGTAAAAAATTCCACATCTCACCTCATGTGCTGGGTTTAAATTCTGCGACACAAAAATTATTATGTAACATTACATTCAGGTTATGTGTATAAGTTAGATATGAAACATAAATTAATTTCAGGGCTTTTATGGTTTGTATTTTTAGGGTTTTGCTATAGGGCATGTGCACTAGCTGGAGAGAGACAGAGAGAGGGGAAAGTGAACAATCAATCCCCCCAGGGCGAATGGCCATGCCTCAATCCCTTTTCCTCCATTCTCCTCTTGGAATTTTTTGGGGGCACACGTGCACATGTACCTGGTGTGATTTTCAAGCCACTGGGTCTGGGGCTCAGACTGCAGTCAGTCATGTGGGAGCCCAGCGTCTTAACCACCACACCACCTGCTGGCCCCTGAATTTCATATTTAAGGTTTGGTTTATATCCCTATGACTTCTCATCATGTACATGTGAATATTCCAAAATCTGAAAAAATTCCAAAATCCAAAATACTTTTGGTCCCAAGCATTTGAGATAAAGATACTTAACCTGTACTTTGAATATTTTACTCTGTACTAGGTACTCTGTTAGGCACTTTGAATATTTTGTGAGATGGAGGTGGGATTTTTTTCCTTTTTAGAATGATTTTATTAAACTTTATTATTTATTTATTCATTTAATTTGACCAGAGAGGGACAGAGTGAGAGAGTGGGGAGGGGGGAGTGAGAAAGCAAGTCACCAGGTCTGGGACTCGAACCGCAGTTGGCCATATGGGAGTCCAGTGACCTTAAATACTATGCCACCTGCCAGCCCCTTAGGGGATTTCCCCATTTTATAGATGAAGAAACTGAGTCTCACTGTAGGGGATTAACTGCTCAAGATCACATTTTAGGGAGCGATAGATCTAGGATTAACTCAGATCTGTGGCTTTTCCTACTACAGACCCATAAAGCGGCATTGCCTGGGATGCCCTTTGACCTGAGCATGGTACACACTAATTGCCTTGTTCAATGTATATCTCAGCATGTGGAATGTTCTGAGAAGCCTAGCCCAGGGGTATTTAACTTTCTTTAACCCAGCAGTTTCCCCAACTATGCTGGATTCTCTCTCCTCATCCCAAATACCCCTGCTATCTACCAAAGGTTCTGAGATCCTTTGTGGAAAATGATACTTTCAAACAAACGAAAAACCAGAATTGCCTCTAAGTCTCTTTCAGAACTCACTTCCGACCCTTTCCCTTAGAAACCAAGTTTGTACAAACTTCCTCCACCTTGGGGACCTTCTGCTGACAGGCGGCAGACCCTCGTTTTCCTTCATGCTGGCTTTCCCATTCCTTCTCCTTCGGTTTGCAGGAATAAAGTTTCCTGATTGTAATGCAATGGGCTCCATTTCCACTCTGGTTCCTGACCACTAAAGACAAAGGCACAGCAGCTACTACCATGGGGATTCTAAAGACGCGTATTAGAAGGCAAGTGTTGTTCAAGTGGCAAGTGTCCAGAAAGTCATAGGTCACAGTCTGGGGGCTCATCAACTTCAGAATTTATCATCTGTGTGACCTTGGGCAGGGCACGCTCTCCGACTGTCAGTTTATTTCTTTGTACTTAGCAGGTCGCAGTAAAAAGAAAATGAGGAGATAATGTTCATGAGACGTATCAACTGTAAAGTGCTATGTCAGTATTTTTCGGTACTAAGTGTAATAAGTGTAATCATCATCGTCATCATCACAGAATTGAATCTCTTGGCAGAGTCCAGGGACATGGAGACAACCTCACAGTAGTCCTAGAGGGGGCTGCTCACGCAGCTTCAAGGTCGGCTGGCCCCTCTGCCCAATGGAGGGGAGGAAGAGGCCACTTGGGGGCTGGTGCAAGGTCTCAGGGAGCATCTCGAAGCATTTTGATTAAGAGACCATTTCCTGAATTCAGAGGACTTGTTTCAACAAGCAAGCATCAAAGTCAACTTGGGAAAGACAGGAATTATTAATCAAGTCCTGTCTAGGGCTGACCAAGCGGCAGATGGCTTGATAAACCTTTCAAAGGGGGAAGGTATTCCCAAGGAGGGCTGCTGCGCCTGGCTGCCCTCTGATTGAGATTCGTGAGTGCAGATAAATGTTTTCCCTGCTCACTACAAAGAGTGGGAAATGGCACGGGAGTCGAAGGGCAGGGCAATGGTGGGGTGGGCGTTCTTCTTTCATCTTCTATTGGGTGGGAGAAGAGAGGCCCACACACGGGTCCCACACACTTCTCTCTGCACCCAACTCCAGAGCCCTCTGTGTATTTCAGCACCCAAGATGTGCCAGACACTTGTGATCTACATGACTTTGCTAAATCTGCATGACAAGATGATGGACAACTCTCATTTTAAAGATGATTAAACAAGGGCTCAGAGAGGCCAAGGTCACTAGGCAAGTGACAGAACCAGAAACAGAACCCACTTGCTCCACTGTACACCCTAGGGCCAAGAGGAGAGGGGGCAAAGGAACAAGAGAGACCCCTGAGTCCCTGAAGGGACCTGCTTGGATCCCATGGCAGTGGATGAGGTATGATTTTCAAGACTCAGATAGAAAAAAGAAAGAAAGAAAGACATCAGTAAGACCCAATCTCGCTGAGAGCCTCTGACATGAAGTTCAAGGTTGTCACCTACTTATCTAGTAATCGATAAAGGCCAAACAGTTCCCACACTGCACAGACCTCAGCTACTAAAAGGTCTTATGTTACTCTGGAATCTTCATACACATTCAGACCTCTGTCCTGTTTTCTAATTCCTGGCGTCCTACCACGGTCCAGCTGTGCACACTGCAGCAAAGAGCCTTGCTCTTGATTGTCTGTCTTGGCTACCATATCACCTCTCAGGAGGTTAGAATTGAGTCATCAACTGAAATGATGACCAAGCCTCTGGATCCCCCACTTTCAGGGCACCAGGAAGTTGATTCGAGGTGTCTCAATAAAACTCCAAGTGAATGCAGAGCCCTGGAAATGGGCCAAGTTGTCTACTGGGTAGTTTCCATGGGTTGGCAGAACTGGGTTATTCCCTGGAGTTCACAAGTGTTTGGGGTCCAATGTGGGTCCCATGCTGGGAAGACTTGAGACCCCTGACTCACACTCACTTTGTCCACTGACGACCTGGTGGCTCTTCCAGCATCCCTCTTACAAAGCAATGAACTCAAGAGAGGGTCCAACCCTCAAGCTCTCCTTGGAAATATCATTCCCATGGGTCATCAATCATTCCATTGGGGGATACTCAATTGCAATGCTTATAAGGGCTCTGTGGAATTTAGTCTCTAGTGTCCTATCAAACTTCAGTCCTCATTTTAGTGCTCTTGGTGAGGAAGTGGGTGGTAATAAGTTAGCCAGTGGCCCATCTAGCTCTCTGACCTCAGGGATTCTTTTAGCAAGTAACCAAAGGATCCTCAGAAGGACCAAATTTATGGCTATGTTCACATTTGCACACCTTTCACACATCAATAGTCTCAGTCATAGACACCCCCACCACCCACCTACTGGCATTACCTGTTTACTGGAAGACATGTTGGTGAGGGTACTGATGCTGCTGGTATCTGTGACCACCATTGCAGATGGAAACCGGGAGGTATGGGAATACTGGGGGGGTTCCTGCTTGTGTGTGTACACTGGGGAGACAGAATGAAGACAACATCAGGTACACATGTAGGTGCACACCTCCCAAGTCACACCATAGCTCTTATTCTCATGGGCAGATAAAAGGGGATGATGGGTATGTTTGGGAAGGCAGTATAATATGGTAAAAAGAGTGGCTGTTGATTTAAATCCTGGCTGCTTAACCTCAGTTTCTCCACCTGTAAAATGAGGATATCTGTTGTAGGATTAGAAAAGATCCTGTTTAGGGAACCAGCAGTTAGCGTAATGGCTATGTCGCTGGACTCCCACGTAGTCAACCGCGGTTCGTGTCCCGGACCCAGTGGCTTAAAACTCACACCGGGCGCGTGTGCGTGCGTGCCCAAGATCCCGAGAGGAGAATGGAGTAGAAGGGATTGCGGTGTGACCATCCCCCCTGGGGGGTGATTTCTCGCTTTCTGTCTCTATGTCTCTCTCTGTCTGTCTGGCGAGCGCACGCGCCCTACAGTGAAAATCTCTCAAAAAAAAAAAGATCCTGTTTAAAGCATTTGGTGCCAAGTAAACAAACAACCTGGCACAATGCCTAGTATGTAATGAGCCCCTTTGCTTCCCTGGCTTTCAATAAAACATTAGATGCCTGGGCATCAATAAATGACCCATAGCCATATGTGGCGTATCTGGAGTTTGAAGTTCAAAACAAAACAAAACAAAACAAAAAAAAGTATTCAAAGCACCTAGCCAACATGAAGCATATCTAGCTAGCTTTATTTATTTATTTATTTTTCATTTTTTTCAGAGAGATTTTTGCTATAGAGTGAATGTGCTTGCTGAAGAGACAGAGAGACAGAAAGCAAGAAATCCTCCCCTGGGAAGATGGCCATGCCACAGTCCCTTCTCCTCTCGGGGTCTTGGGCACACATGCACATGGGCCCAGCATTAGTTTCAAGCTGGGTCCAGAACTCAAATCGCAGTTGACTACATGGGAGTCCAGCGATATAACCATTATGCCATCTGTTGGTCCCCTAGCTAGCACTTTCTGCCATGACTCAAGCAGCAAGTGTAGGTCTCCTACTAGCAAGTGTAGATTGAGTAACAATGGGAATTAGACATAGGTATAATCAATGATATAATCCTGGGCTATCCCAGCTTACAATAGAAGGTGTCATAGTCTTATGACATCCCAGAAATATGAAGGATGATAGACAAAAGGAAACCAGATCAAAATAAGGTCTCCAGGAGCATGTGACTCAATTTAGTTCTCCCAGTACTGTTCATCAAGTCTGGAACTTTTACAACTTTTTAAAAAATATATTTATTCATTTCTTTCAAGTGAGAGGGAGAAATAAAGAGAGACAAAGAGAGAGACACAGTCCTCAAACCATGATCCTAGCCTTGGCCCCAGACAGCAAGGATCATAGGCATTCAAGCACCCGCCTGTGTACACAAGGAGACCCCAGGAAATAAGCCTGGGACTGTCCCATGTGGCCTCGACATTACGGAGCACTTCGTTTCCATAGTGCTACTGTGACTAGCCATGTCTAGAACCTTCCTTAAGATTCATGTATCAATAAATTCCAGGTCACATGACCAACTAATGAAAGCACATGGATGCTTGGCTGGAGGGACCAGGCTGTTATCAGAACATGGAGGCTACTGGGATCAGCAGATGGCGTAATGGCTACGTTGCTGGACTTCATGGTTCAAGTCCCCTCGGTGGCTTAAAACTCAAGCCGGGTGCATGTGTGTGCACACCCAAAATCCTGAGAAAGAATGGAGGAGAAAGGATTGCAGTATGGCCAAGTGATTTCTCGCTTTCTGTCTGTCTCTCCAGCAAGGGCATGCGCCCTATAGCAAAAGTATCTCTTAAAAAAAAAAAAAAAAGAACATGGAGGTTGCCAAGGAGTCCTCCAGTAAGGAGGTGGAGACTGGCTCTGCCTCAGCTTGCCATTCCCACGTGGGGAGACTGATTATTTCCTGGTCCAGGGCTCCTTGAACTTCCCATGATCACTCAGGCCCACTGGGCCTCAGCTGTCCACAGGTTATGGTGACCATTCTGACTGACCCCCCAGGTCTGGCAACCAAGGAAACTCACCCAGATAAGGGGTAGGGATAAGTGGGGAACACACTGCCAGGCTTGGGTGGGAGGGACTGGGGCATATGTGGTCCCAGGCTCTGCTACAGGATGTAGTAGATTTTTTGAAGCCACGAAAATGTGATTGGAATGTGAGATGGTGCTGAAACCAGCTCCACAGGCCTGAATGTGGACTGAGCCCCAGGACAGAAGCTGAATGTGGCTGTTCTCCCTCAGACAGGTAGCCTTGGCCCAGGCAGCCAGGGAAGAAACCCAGAACCCCTTCCCCACCCTTACCTTCAGGCAGTCCCTTACACTTGCATTTCTATTACTCTTTTTGCTTACCAAATGCAGCTGCCCCTATTTTATTTCATCTTCATATATCTATATCCATATCCAGCATCATCATGTTATGGATGAAAGAGTTGAGACCCAGAGTAACTAAGCAACTTGCAAGGATTTAAATCCAGATCCGTCTGCTCCAAGACTAACACTCCATATGGGACATGTCCCTGGTGTTCCTGAAGCTGGGAAGTCATCCAGCCTTCCCACGATTCCTCCCCAAACTCACAGGCCAGGGATACAGCCAAACCTAACCAGAGGACCAGAGGCCTGGGGCTCAGGATGGAAAGCGGAAATACAGAGGCTGAGAGTGTATGGGAGATGAGTGGTCGGAAGGTAGATTTAGAGTAGATGTAGAAATTTCCTCGGCGGGGGAACCAGCAGTTGGCGTAATGGCTATGTCGCTGGACTCCCACGTAGTTGACCGCGGTTCGTGTCCCGGACCCGGTGGCTTAAAAAACTCACGCCAGGCGCGTGTGCGTGCGTGCCCAAGATCCCGAGAGGAGAATGGAGGAGAAGGGATTGCGGCGTGACCATCCCCCCTGGGGGGTGATTTCTCGCTTTCTGTCTCTGTGTCTCTATCTGTCTGTCTGGCTAGCGCACGCACCCTACAGTGAAAATCTCTCCAAAAAAAAAAAAAAGAAATTTCCTCCGCGGGG